GTACTTTCTATAACTAATTCTGGAATCAAAGTACAAATGGTCGTACACCTTGTTTTTGTTTCCTACAGTACATTATTGAAAGATTTAACAGATAAACACCAATTTGTGTTGACTACAATATCAAAAAGACAAAATATTTAGGTAACCATAAAAGAAACACCACTTCATTGTTAATATTTATGTAAGACAGTAGCAGCCACACACACACACACACACACACACAAAAGATCTAATTGTGTAATTTATATATATAAATATTTATATATATATTCACTACTACTGCTACTAACCCAGCAGATATTTTTATTGATTAAAACTGTTAGAAAAATGTGAGTTTAGAAACAGCTGAATAAAGTTGAACTGAGTAGTTATGGAGGATTTTATGATGTTTTTATTTTTGTGTGGTTAGTTATAATTTATGAATACAATAAAGCAGTGAAACAATATGATCAATACAATGTATTCAAACACCTTCAAAAGTATTAAAAGGCAGAGTGTGTAACATTTTCCGTGGCTTTGTGTATGGAATTGCTTTATATATATATATATATAAAGTTACTTGTTTGGAGTTGCACCTTTCACAGGAGCAAATAATCTATAACACCATTCACGTAGGTGTTATACAACGTGGCAAGAAGAGATGGTTTTGACGTCAGTAATCATGATCGCTTAAGGTGGAGGCCCATATTTCTGCTAATTGTATCTCCTCATCTCCCACGTACGTGTATTATTGTACTTAGACCATCATGGAATCAAACCAATATCTAGAAATAGTAAAAGAGTGTTTGTGAGAAGGAAAATAAGAAATGAAGACAAAATGCCCAAGATTTTTCTTGAAGATTCTATATGCAGTTATACACAGCTGCTTGGATACTATGGTTAAATAAGCAATATATATGGTCTGGTTTGTTCAGTCTTCACCTGTAGCATTTCGGATGTGTGTGTATAAAGCGCCGTGATATCCTAATTCATGCATTACCTCTTTTCATCAGGACCCTTAAAACAAATATTGATTTATCCCTGTCAACTTTGAGTATAGCGGTGTAGGCCTATGCTGTACTCATTACTTCGCGGCGCCTCTGCTTAACCTTCGTCTCTCAGCATCTGTTGCCATGGTGACGTGACGTAATACCAATGTTTTCAATCTTTTGCACCGTACTTGAACATGTATGCGTGTCCTAGTTAGCTGTGCTTTGAGTGAAGTTAACCCTTTCTCTGCGTTGTGCAGTAAGGCCTACAGCATAATATCTGTTTGTATATGGACGTTTTGCTGTAGAATATATGGCACACTTGTCTTGGGGTTTCCCTTGGGATGCTTTATACGTATAGCCAAATTTTCTAGTGGTTGCGATGTAGATCATGTGACAACTGCATATCTTCAACAGGATATTATGCTTTCACAGAAGTTTTAGGATAAATCTTGGGGATTTTCCGACATTCATTGCTTTACTTCTACAATATATATCACTGTTTAGTTATGATAAACTTGAAAACAGGATCAGCCGTTGTTTTTGTTTTTTCTGTACAAGAAGGCTTCCCCATAACATCCAGAAATATCGAAGCAGCGAATGTTCCACCGGATGTATTCCACATAAGTTCTGAAAGTTGGACGCCTGTAAAGTGCGAACTGTATGTCCGTGTATCAAGATACATTGCTGAGAGCAGTAGGCCTAAAATTTTAAAAATTTTGCGCAAGTGATTTTTGAGAGCTAATAACAGATGAATCGATATAACGTTACAAAACAAACATTCTACCGTTAAAGCATAAAAACCTGTCTGAATGGCTTTGAAACAATGTAACGAAAACCGAAACATTAAAAAAAAATAAGCTGGAGAAAAACGGCTGCTGCAGTAAAAGGGTTAAATCAATGTTCTGGTTCATACCGATCGTTTGGAACGGTACTAGCGACAGACAGCGGAGATTGTTTCTAGTTACAATTATCTTGACAATTTCTTGTGAAATTTATATCGCTGTTTTATCACTTTCTTTTAAATTTTTCGTAGCTTACTTAGAGTACAAAATAATTTCTAATTTTGTACATTCAAGGAATTAACACTTCCTCCATATTGAGTAAACAGTTTTGAGCTGTTTGGGAAGTAATGAATTTCAACATTTCAGTCGAAGTTGAGTAAACAATTTTACCATCGGTATTTCGTACTTGACATAATTTATACTAAACACTATCCTAAAAGTTACAGAAATGTTAAAGAAAAGTGTATATATATTGTATATGACTAATAGCATAAGAACACCGGAAATTTCAGAAGTGGGGGGGGGGGGGTAAAATGAAGCCATCAACGAGAGGCTGATGTAATGCAGTCTGTATCAACCATTTTATCTCATTTAAAGTTTGATCGAATATAGTGTAAATTATAGGTAAATATAGGCACGATGAAAGTTTTAGCCTAAACAAATTCACAGACTTTCGGTGCAGCTAGGTTTGAATGTTTGTAGTCACCTGTACTTTTGGAAGCCTGAAGTCCATAGGGTTTTCTCGCAGCTAATATATGGACACTATTTAGCAACGTATGGTATATCGAAAATCGATACAACCACCCCTCTTTTTTTAATTTCACAACTTGGACAACTAAGCAAACCCTGCTGCTCAGCTATGCCAGTTGTTATACTTTAATCATAGCCAATGAATGTTAATGATAATTATATCAAATATTTTATAAATCAAAATACTTTTTCTACAGTTTTCGTACTTGGAGATCTCTTTCTGTAGTATACCGTATTCTGAATGAAGTAACCATGTTTTAAGGTGTTTTTTTTAATTACAAATTATAATAAGATTGCACGTTAAAGTGACGTTTATTAGGCATGATTATGAAGAAAGAAAAGTTGGGATATCAGTGTTTGATACGCACTGGAGTTTTAGCTGGAAAAAATCGGGAAGAAACGTTTGGTTAAATCTTCAACATAACTTTCAAATTCGCGACTGAACAATCTGGTTAAAACACAAACAATTACTTATACATGTTATAAAACATTAGTGTTAGGCCTATTAATTTTAACTCTACATAAAGAAAAATGTATATTAGTATTTCAACCACATCATGTCTGCTATATTCATTGCCGACGACGCCTTTCGCTCAATACAGGGCTCTGTCAGGCCGGCTGAGACACCGCAAACTCAGTAGTGGTTGTAACACCGTATTATATATTAGCCATTTGTTACAATAACAATTTATATAGGGTGAACGCCTTTTCTAAGATGGCGAAGCATGAATATAAGGCATGCGGCATTGTAATAAGGCATTAGTATTAGGCCTATTATATTTTTAAGTCACATCCTTTATTCATCCTCATTTTTTTTTAAAAAGAGAAGAAGAAGAGGGGTATATAACAGTATTTCACCCTTTTTATGCCCGCCATATCCGTTGCTAACGGCATGTTTCGCTCAATTCATATCGCATCAGACTGGCTGGTTTACAGCAAACT